TCCTTTTGGCGCGGTCGTGGGCGTATAAAGCGATTGAGTGAGCACGATAGGATCTGAGAGCATCTGGGCCGTCTGACATTCGTCGTGGGCGCTTCTCTGGCCATTGCGGATGTCGTATCGGGCCGTCTGAGGCGTCACGTGGCCTTTTCGGGGCCGTCTTGCGGGCCTTTGCACCATCGTAGGGCCCTGTTGCGTCGTCTTGCGTCTCGTGGGGCCGTCTTGGGGCAGTCCCAAGGCGGTTGTCTGGGAGTGGTGTTTCTGTTTGGGCGGTCTACAGCCTTCTGGGGGCTCTCGTGCCGCTCTTGGGCCCAATCGTCTTGGGGCGATTCGGGGGGCCGCATGGGCCGTTGTGGACGGTATGGAGCAGATGGGTCCGCCGGGCCCTTTCGAGACTCCAAACAGGCCAGACTTGGCTCTCGGTTCCGAGTGGCCAGCGATGTTTTGTCAATTGTGATGTGTTGGATGCCGCTATCAAGAGCTCCTTGCAACAATTTATATAAGCCGGTCTCCTCTCCGTTGATCACTTTTGCACATGCTGGGCAAGGCGAGCACGCACATCTTGTCCAGAGAAGGCGCGACGATCGTCACCTTGTTCCTGCTCTGGTCACGCCCGCCTCCACGACTCATGGCATGCCTGTGCCGTCAACGTCACGCAGATGTTTAAGACATGGAACAAAGCGTTCCTTGTTTCCCACAATTGCGCAGAGGCATGTGAGGATCGCCCAAGAAGACCATAAGGAATCCCTGGAGAACCCAGAGCCCGATCCGAAGCCACAGTGGTCCTATAAACAGGACTTGGGGAGCGTCGGGGAGACAACCCTCACGGTGGGCGGTGACCAGGAGGCTGGTGGGGACGTTTTTTCCGTCGCGGCCGCAAGCGGAAGCGCAGGCGGCGTCCGAAGTCAGCCTGGACTACGAGCCAAACCTAATTACCTTGACCCACTCACACTCCGACTCGCTCACGCTCAGATTACCCACGCTCAGATTCACCCGCGTAGAGGCTCACACGCGCACGAGTTGATACCGCGATGCAGCTGGCGTGACGCTTGGGCACCCCAAGCGCCAGCAGGCGCGCCGCGAGTAGCACGCCAGACAGCGGGCGTAAAGACGCCATGCGCGCTTGCCTGAGTTGCCGCGGGGAGACCAGCGAGAGGAGTTCCACCTCGCTCTTCCACTTGTGTTCCCCTCGTGTCACCTGAAAAATGTCCAGAAGAAGAAGAAGACGTCACCGAAGTCGTTGCTATCGTCGTCATTGCCGCGCCCGTTGTCTGCACGGATTCGCTCTTACACCCGGATTATCACAGACAGAGCCCTTCAGCGGAACGTGAGAGGAGGAGTATGATCCGCACATATCGGGACTTCCGCGTCGAGTAATTATAATGTTGTTTTTTTAGTTTGGCGCTCGGGAAACCCACTAAAGACCGCCCGAAACTCTCCCCCTACCCCCACCCCCGTGGCCGGGACCCCTGCTCCCACTGAGGGGGGGTTCAGGGGTTTTCCAGGGGGTATCGAAGACGCCTACGGCGACTCACCGTCGCCCCCTTTTAGAATCACCCTTGAGGCCGAGCGTTGTGGCAAGAGGTCTGCCAAGCGATCGGACCATGTGTTCCCGAAACCGTTGTGGAAACCCTTCGGGGAACATTTGGGGGAGGCTGGCGGGGAAGATCAGGAGGAGGCGGAGGAGGAGGAGGTTGAGAAGGAGGAGGAGGAAGAGCAGGAGGAGGAGGAGGAGGAGGAGGAGGAGGAGGAGGAGGAGGTGGAGGAGGAGGAGGAGGAGGAGGAGGGGGCATCTTGGGGACACTCTTGGGGCCTCCTGGGAGCTTCCTGGGAGCCTCTTGGAGGCATTTTGGGGGCTTCACGGGGCCTCTCTGGCCGTCTTGGTGGGCTCCTGGTCCGTCTGACGCCGTCGGAAGCCGTCTAGAGGGCCTCTCTGGGCCGACTTGGGCCATCCTTGGGCGTCTTAGAGGCCTCTTGGGCCGTCTTGGGGCCCCCTTGGGGCTGTCTTGAGTCTTGAGGACCTCGTGTGCAGTCCTGAGGCCATCTTGGGGGCCTCTTGGGCGATCTTGGGGCCGCCTTGAGGGCCTTTTGGGCCGTTCTGGGGCCATCTTGGCGGCCTCTTGGGCGATCTTTGGGGCGATCTTTGGGGGCTCTTGGGCCGTCTCGGACCGTCGAAAGGCAGACAAAAAACAAATACCCACATCTCTCAATCATCTACGGGCATTTTTTTGATTTTGGCCTCTTCGGGCCGTCCTGGAGGCCCCTTGGAGGCCTCTTGGGCCGTCTTGGGCCATCTTGGAGCCATCTTGGGCCGTCTTGATGGGCTCCTTGCTTGGGGCCCTATGGGGTTCTCCTGTGAGGTTCTCCAGGGCCGTCTTGGAGGCATGCTTTGGCGTCTTAGAGGCCTCTTGGGCCGTCTTGGGGCCCTTTTGGGGCTGTCTTGAAGGCCTCTTGGGCAGTCCTGAGGCCATCTTGGGGGCCTCCTGGGCGCTCTGGGGGCAGTCTTCGGGGCTTCTTGGGCCGTCTCGAGCCGTCGGAAGGCCGAACAGAAGCAAATACGAAGATCCATCAAAAACCCAAGGAACGCCTCGTCGGGCCCTCCTGGAGGACATCACGGAGGCCTCTTGGGCCGTCTTGGAGGCTTCTTGGGCCGACTTGCATGGGCCGTCGTGGAGGCCATCTTGGACCACATTGGGCGAACTTGGAGGCCATCTCGGGCCATTTGAGCCGTCTTGGAGGCCGTCTAGGGCCATCTTGGAGCGGGAGAGGTTTTGGCCCGAAGATATTTTTGTGAACGTTGAGGTCGTGTCCGGGCCTTGTGCGGCCTTTTGCGCTCTTCCGGGTGGTCGGCGGGCTGAGCAGCACGCTGGGCACCCTTGTGATAAATCAACATGGGGCGCTGAAAGAGTGGCTCTGATACTGGGACCGCTCCTTGGCCCTTTCGCTCCCTACTGAGCTGTCCTCATGTTTGCACGATCAGCTGGGGATATCCGAAGCCTACCCCCCGCAACCATCCAGTGATCTGAATCGATGGGAGGGGGGGGGTAGGGTTGATCCGGATTTCGCCACGTGTTCGACGAATTCCGAACCCTACCCCCCCCGCCCATCGAGTTGCCTGAATTGTTGATCGGCGAGGGTATGGGGTAGGGTTCGGGTGTCGCCGCCAAGCGATGCCAGCACTCAAGCGCTCTGCCTGCAACCACGGCCGCGCGCTGGCCGAGCACTGGTGCCGGGTGCCGAGCTTCGAGCCTTGCCCGGGTGCCCGCGCGAGCGCGCGGCGCCCTCGCAGGTCTGGACCCCCCAGGAGGTGGCGGAGGTGGTGCTCCACGAGGCCTCCCGTCCGCGCGCGGGAGGAGGGGGGGGGAGGGCCGTGGAGTCGGCTGGGGGTCTGAGGTGGCTCCGCACTGGTTCTGGCCGGCAGGACGGGCGGGCAGGATCGAGGTTCTGGATCCGGGACGTGTTCTTTTGTTGTTGCTGAGTTTCTTGGCTCTATAGGGGCCGCTGTCGGGCCCCAAGACAGTGAACCATTGATCCGGGGTGGAAAATTGTGATCGTTTTCTTGTTCATTGTTTTGCCGATCGGCGCGGGCCCTCGCATCACCCCCCTCCCCCCCATGGAGTATGTCTTGGCTGCTTTTGGCGCCTGTTTCGAGCAGGTGGAGTCTCCCCCATGGGACGTACTTTCGCAAACAGTCGCATTTAGCAGAGGTCCGGAGCCAGACCCCACCCACTCCCCACCTTTCCGCCCACTGTCGAAACGCCGAATAAGGAAACGCTAACATTGCATTAGATGGACCCCTGGGAGGGGTCCCGGGACCGACCTTGAGGGCTTTGGCCTTATCTCTCCCCCCCTCCTGACTGATCTTCTGGGGTCCCAGCCAGTGCAGACCCCCCGGCCGCCTCCAAGCAGGACCCGGACCTCTGGCGCCTCGAACGAACTCGCGCCAGGGTTCGCCATCTTCCGTGCCTGGAGATAGCTTCGGGGCCAACGGGCTCAGGATTCGATTCTCGGCGCTGTATTCGTGGTCGATAACCAGCACGGTCCCGTCGAATTGCGCCGAGTCTCGCCAAATCCAGCTCAGTCGGGCTGAATTATGGGCCCAATCCTGGCTAATCCGGCTGAATGGCCTTTTCATCGGGCGCAACAGTCTTCAAGTGTTGTTACGACGAAGCTCCCAGGAGTTGCTTTCTAAAGTGGCGTCAAGGCGACTCCGTGTGAAAAAGGGTCCTTATTAATGGGTCCGAGAGCTTCAGGAGCCAGCACCCCGTCGTCGGAGGTCCGCGGCTGGAGGAGCTTGCAGAGGGTCCCCCTTCGCTCGAAGGACAAAAAGCGGCATAAGCATGAGAACCTGCAGTGTATGCTTGTGTGTTCATTGTTTCCCTCTAGGAGGGGAGGAGGGAGGCATTCTTCGCAGGTGACATCGTTGAATATGTGCAACGGTCTCAGCGGCCGCTCGGCAGGCACGTCGATGATATTTCGTCCTGCTCAAGATTTATGTCCATACCCTCTGCGTCTCGGATTCTGCAGGCTCCTCACCTGGAAACCCGAGACGCAATGGACATGGACAGAATCTGGCGTTCAGAGGCAATATTTGTATCTACTTCCACGGCCTCTCGGGTTTCTGGCATCCCTTCGCCAGAATCCAAGACGCCGTGGATACGGATATGCATTCTGCCCGCAGGCTTTGCCGCCCCGACCGCCCACTCCTGCTCAGTCTCGCTCCTCCATGCTCTCGTTTGCCCTCCTCGTGCGGGTTGTGACTCCGTCCTTCTCTGGAGTTGGCAACGACGTGCAACTGCAGCAGTCCAATCATGCGAGGCTCCCTTGTGTTGCTGCGGCGCGAGGAGAATATAGGATCACTCGGAGGAGGTGGGAGGGGATGAGCATGATGAGGAGGACTAGATAGATGGAGATGAGCAGGATTGGAATGACATTGAAACGTAGAGTCAGGGGAAGAGTATCTGAGACAGGATAAGGACAATTTTCGTAACACTGGAGGGGCGGTTGGGGTATGACCAAGCGTGCGCGCCTGGACGGGCAGAGGGCCATACGTTCTCGTAATAAAAGTATGTGTCGGAACTTAGAAGTGAACAGTAGGAAGGGAAACATGAGAAGGATGATGCCGGGTGGGCGTAGAAGAGAGAGAGAGAGAGAGACAACAATGAAGAAAGGGAGAACGAGAGAAAGAGACAGGCAGAGTGAGAGAGAGAGAGATGGCGAGGGCATGGATGAGGCCATGGAGTAGGGTAACGGAGGAGGACGACGACGACGAGGACGACGACGAGAAGGAGGCGGAGTAGCAGCGGCATCATCTGTTACAACCTGATGCGTGGGCCTCGCCAATTGATTGCGCAAGCGCATCATGACTTATCGGAGGGCGTGGCCTTCGATCTCTTTGTCAACCGATGAGGGTAGTACGATAGTATCGGGGGAGGAACACGAGAGGGTAGCGGAAGAACAGAGAGGAGAAGGGGGGAACGACCCGGGGGGAGGGGGGGGCGGCAGGCAAGCCAGGTGCGTTCGCGCCACATATTTGACATCCCCCCAGCCGCGGCGCAGCGTTAGCGCTACAAAGTGGCACAAACACCCGTATGTCCTTCACAACGGAGCCTCCATCACTCGAAGAAGAAAAATATTCAGATGAGCTTCCGGAGGTCCGCGCGGATTTCTTGGAGCGGCTCTGAACCTCGCTCCCTTGCTCGCGGAGCGCGCAGGGGGCGGCGCAGAAGGCGCCGCCAGGAGGCTCCAGCGCAGATCCAAGAACTCTCTGCGGAGCTCCGAAAGTTTCTATTTATGCGTTTGTTCCCCCTCCAGCCACAATTTTCGGTGAACATGGGCGTTCGAGATCGTCAACATCGCTGTTTCAAAACGTGATGTTCTTCACGTCGAACCTCAGTCTCCCTTCCGCGTTTCATCTGCGTCCTCGTCGTAGTCAGTCGCCTCCAAATTTCTCCTCACTTCGGGAAGGCGCGACACTCCCATTTTCCGCCGAGACATATGTCCAGATGACACAGTTGGGTTCACAACATTCAGTCGTAGGATGGGATGGCATGGCGGGCTCAAAACAGCTCTAAGACGACACAATGCTTCCTTTGAGCTGTCAGAAGCACACGAAAGAAAAGCCAACCCCAGCGGCCCATTACCCTTGAAGGCAGTTGTTGAACATCCCAGGTGCGCCAAGTTGGTCTCGAGAGGGTTCGAAGCAGGCCCATAATACTAACATGTTGTGCGCTTGTGTATAGATGTATATATGTATGCACCCAGCTGCCTCCAGCAATTCCGCCACCATGCTGGCGCAGCATTCTAGGTGGCAGCGACTCGAGAAGGCAAGGGGGCTTGCCGTGGGCCTCTTGGGACAGAAGCTTCGAATTATGGGTTCGTGTTCCCTCTCTTACTCCCTTCTTGGGGCCCCCTTGGGCAGTCGTGACGCCTCTTGGGTCGTCTTAGAGCCCCTCTTGGGCCGTCTTGGAGCTCTCTTGGGAGCCTGTTGAGCCATTGGAATCGCTACTTGAGATCAGTGGTGTTTGCCTCTTAGGGGGCCTCTTTGGGCCCTCTTGGGGCCTCCTGCGGGGCGGAAGGCTCGAATTGTCGGTTCGTGCTCACCCTCTTTAGCCCTTCTTTGGGCCGTCTTGGGTCACGTGCTTTTGGCGCCTCTCGGGCCGTCTTGGCGCCCCCTTGGGCCGTTTTTGGGCCTCTTGAGGGCTTCTTGGACCGTCTTCTTGGGGCAGTCCTGGTGGCCTCGTGGGCCGTCTTGAAGCCATCTTCGGCCGTCTTGGAGCGCTCTGCGGCCATCTTGGCGGCCTTGGTGGCCTGCCTGGGCCGTTTCGGAAGCCACCTTGGGCATCTCGGACGCCTTGGAGAGCGTCAGGAGGGTGCGAGGCAACCCAGCGAGCCTCGGGGAGAGGAGACCAATCAAGGAAGCGCGTCCCGAGGCGGGGGCTTGGGAAGGTACAGAAACCCGGCCAGCCAGGCCTAGGCATTCTTCCACGCCTGTCCGTGTTCAAGGCAACGTGGCGGAGAGGCACCGTGGCCCTTGATCGGCCTCTGGACGGAGGCGCGTCGCTGTCTTTGACGTTTTTGAGACGTCCAGCCTTGCAGAACATATCCATATATAGATATATCTATAATGTATATATGTACACCGTTATAGAGACATGTATGTATGCAGGCATGCATAGTTTTACGTATGTGCGAGTGTACGTGTGAAAGTATGTGTATAGTTATCTGTCTGGCTGGCTGTATGTCTGTCTGTCTGCCTGTCTGTCTGTCTGTCTGTATGTATGTATGTATGTATGTATGCACGTATGCACGTATGCACGCAAGGGCATGCACTTGTGTACGTACACATGTCTATGTGTGAATGTGTGAATGTGTGAATGTGTGTATGTGTATGTGTGCATGCATGTATGCATGCATGTATGCATGCATGTATGCATGTATACATGTATGCATGCACGTGTGCAACATTGAATGCATGCATACATGCATGTATGCATGTATGCATGTACGTATCTACGCGTGTACGTGCTTATATATATGCATGTAGGTATGCTATGTCTATGTCTATATATATATATATATATATATGAGTGCACGTATACATGTGTGTATGTGTGCGTATGCGTATGGTTGTGCATTTGCATGCATGCATGTATGTATACATTCAGTCATGCATGTATGCGTGTATGTGTGTCTGGATGTATGTATGAATTTATGTACGTATGGATGTCTAGATGTATGTATGCACACAATGTATGTTTGAATGCGCACGTACATCAATGTATACACGTATGAGTTTACGTATGCATGCATGTATGTATGAATGCTTGTATGTATGATTGTAAACATGTACACAGTTTGGTCTCAATGCCTGTCTGTCTGTCTGTCTGTCTGTCTGTCTGTCTGTCTTTCTGTTTGTCTGCATGTACGTACTTATGTATGTATGTATGCTTGTATGCGCTCATGGGACTGTGTGAAAGCAGTTCGCGAAATAGTTTGGAGCGCACGCGCTCATTGTCAGTGGATATCTGTGCGCACTTCTCGTATTGGGTAGGTTTGGAGGGGGGAGGCCCCAGTGCAGTCGCATGGGGCCGTTTCGGGATCCTTCTTGCCACTCCCCTGTTCCTCTTCCGCCTACACGTTCGTTCCCTTTCCCTTCTCCTTGGGGCCGAGTGGTGCCTGAGTGCAATGGGGCAGGAGAAACGTCGGGAGGACTGCAGGTCCTGCCCCCCTGACATCTGACGATGCATTTGAAACAGAGGGACGGGAGGGCCAGGCCATCTGTCCGTTATTCGCTATCATAACTGGATGCCCGGTTTTGGCGGGTAGCATTGTTGTCGTAGTCAAACGACGGTTTTGCGTCGATTATGTGTTTTTTCGTTTGTTTTTTGGAGTTCTCGAACCCATCCCCAGAGCCAAATTTTCATCCTGCGTGGTCTTTTGACCTGCGTGGTCTTTTGACGGTCTCAGGGCTAAGCTACGTCGAACACGGCGAACTACCTTCTGGCGCGAATTTGTTCAAGTCGCCGCGAGGTCTCGGGGGAGGTGGCGGACCAGGGGCAACGTTTTGGGGGGACAGGCTCAGGGGGGATGTATTGACCCCCTATCGCTCATTCATCGTCGTCAGGGGCCCGATAGCCCTCCCCCGCCAGGAGCGCGCGGATTCGCCATCGGGGGCCGATCGCCGATCTATCGGCGATGCATGGCCTATGCAGGCTCGATGCTCCTCCCCCTGAGCCAATCCCCCCCTCTCGTTGCCCCTCGGCGGAGGAGAACGGGGAGGAGGAGGGGGGGCGAATTCGTCGGGGGGCGAAGAGGAGGAGGAGCAGGAGGAGGAGGAGGAGGAGGAGGCTCGGAGGAGGAGGAGGGGCGGGAGGATGGCCTCTGGGCCGGTGGGGGCCGCGGGGGGGCCGCGGGCGGCCCCGCGGCGCAGGTCTGCAGCCGACTGTGCGCCCTCGCGCTCGCCTGCAGGGCGGTGCCGGTGCCGCAGAAGTGGGTGGGCGGCCGCCGCGGCGAGGGGGGGTCAGGGAAACGCAAGACCCGAGTAAGCCGGAACTCGGGTTTGCCGACGTTTTTTTGACGTAAGAGTGACCTTTCGCCGGAGTGTCCTTTCGCCGGAGTGACCTTTGGTGCGGGCACAGATGGGTCCCCAAATGGCTGAGAACGAAGCAGCAGCAGCTACTTGCGCGCCCAGGTTTGGTCCCCCCGCGGCACTCAAAAAGTCGCGCACCAAAGGTCACTTTTACCCAGGGTCACTCCTGCGTGTAGCCGAGAGGGGGGGGGTCAGGGAAACGCAAGACCCGAGTAAGCCGGAACTCGGGTTTGCCGACGTTTTTTTGACGAGCGCGTCCTGGATTTTGACGGTGCAGTTTTCGTGGGATGTTTGCAGCGGGAGGTCGCGTCAAATTTCAGATTGGGTCTCGTCATTTTCATGATGGCCCCGTCAGGCCAACCCGAGTCCCCCTTACCCGAGGCTTACGTGTCCCCGAGGGGGGGGGACCCAGCCCTCCAGCGTATTGAGGGCAGAATTCGGGCGGAGTTTTTTCTTCGTGCTCGGCGCCTGGGGCCCTCGCCGGGCCCCGGGATCGTCCAGCAGCGATCCGGGAGGAGAGGCCGGCCAAGGGAAGGGGGTCGGGGTGTTCCGGGGACCGCGCTTATCGATGGCATCAAGTCATCGCATGTCCGGGGTGCGGGGTGGCGCGCCAGGGTGGTCGAGGACCGAGGGCGGTCTTTTTGGGACGCTCTTGGCCCTCTCCGTGGCTTCCGTGGAGCCCTCGTGGCCACGGCTGGGCGCAGCTCGAGTCGGTACGATCAAGCGTATACGGAAAGAATCCGTACGAAGACCGACGGAAATTCCTGATCATTTTGAACAGGACTCGCAGTCGGTGCCGCCGCGGGCGTTATCAATTCAGCCTGAGGTTCCCTGTGCACGTGGGCTCGGCGTTTTTGCTCTTCGCTTTCGGCCTCTGAGCGTGCCGCGTGCCCGCAGCTGCTGTCTTCAGCCGCTGCTTCAGGACTGTTTGACCCTTGCGACGGCGCGCGGCCGTTCCGCTTGCGCTCGCGAACAAAAAGTAACCCCACCAGCTTGCACAGAGGTGCCGCGCAAAGGTGACGCCTGGGCTCCTCCCTCTCCTGCCGCACGGCGGGCGCGGGCCGTCCCCTCCGGTCGCCTGCCCGCCCTCTGCGGACTTCTCGCCGCCCCGGCCCCTCCGCTATCGCGGCTCTCGGCTTGCGGCAGCCTCCCGCGCCCGCCTGGGGTCTGCTGTTTCGGTGCGTTTTTTGCCGTGCGGGTGGCGCTCCCCTCGTTTCCCGAGCGAAGTCCGTCACGCTCCGGCTGGTCGCCTCCGCGTTGCGTTTCGCGGGGCCTTGGCTCGCCTGGGCCGGCCCCAGCCTGGCGGGTGCGCGTCTGCTTGCATCCCCCGCTTCGTGGGACGGGACTTCAACATCAGTCTCTGGCGGTGTCTGGCGATCTGGATTCTGCTCCGTCGGGCGCCTGCGTGTGAGCTGGTTGACGGCCGGATTCGCGTGAAGGGCGCCCGCTATCCAGATATGGTGTGCCCGTTGCTCTTGGCGCCTGCTCCTCGTTGCGCGCCTATTCATTGGCATGCTCGCGGAGTCGCTCAACCTGAAATCCCCCCCGCCCTTTTGGCGTTGCAGCCCGGTGGCGGTTCACCCCCCAGACTAAGGCGCACTTCTGAGCGGCAGCGAGGCCCACCTCCTGTTGTTTTCCGCTGTTTTCTCGTTGTCACTCGTTTTTTTTTTTGTTGTTGTTGTCTTCTCTTTTTTTCATTTTTTTTTTTTTTGGGGGGGGGGGGGGCGGGGTTTATCTCTCTCTCTCTCTCTCTCTGTTTCCCTCCCGCTTATGCAATGCAGGCCGTAGCTAGAGTGCTACGACTTGCTGACGGCGCTCGGCATTTCCGCTACGCTTGCGATCGAAAAAAAAATAGCCCCGCCTTCCCATGCAGAATCGAAGCCCAGGCGAGTTGCCCTTTATCAGTGATGTGGGATGTGGAGGAGCACGCAGTGGAATCGCGGGGTGGAGGAGCCGTCATACCCCACGACGGGGAGGATGGAGGACGAGTCTCTGCGGAGGAGGAGGAGGGGGAGGAGGAGGAGTCTGAGGAGGTGGAGGAGGAGGAGGAGGAGGAGGAGGAGGAGGAGGAGAAGGGGGTGATGGGGGAAAATGGAGGAGGGAAAAGGAGGAACAGGCTGAGGAGGAACGGGAGGAGGAGGGCCAGCCGAATGGCCAGAGGCCTTTTGGTTGCCTTTTTTGTTCCGGAGTCTCTTCGGATGTCTTCCGAAAGCTTCTGGGACATTGTCGTGTGGCGTCTCGGGGGCCTCTTGGCTGTCCTGGGGGCCTCTGGGAGCGTGTGCGGTGTCGCGGGAGAGCCTCGTGGGAACATTTTGGGGACCTTTGGGGGCCTCCTTGCGTCCCTCTGCGAGCCCTTTTGGGGCACTCTTGGGAGCCTTGGGGGCCATCTTGGAGGATATCGGTCAAAGAGGGGGGGGGGTAATAAATTAAAGTCCCCCCCATCAGGGGGCCGAAATTGGCCCAAAACCTAAACCAAGAATACACTGTGTGCCCCGTCGTTGCGGCCATCCTGGACTCCTTGAACGGGTTGCGAACCCCCCCTTCCGTCCAGGTGCACGGGTATGGGGTAGGGGAAGGGGTAGGCCACTCCCCGAAGAGAAGCGGGGGATTAGAAGAGGAAACGCCCTGAACCACTGACGCCCACAGGGCTGGTTGGATTTGGGACACAGGACCGCCTGCCCGTCAGTGGTGGCTGTCGGTCTGGGACAACATTTGTTGTGGGGCACCGTGCCCACCAGGGGTAGATCTAAACGGTGTTTTGGCGATTTCGTGGGCCGTTTTAGTTTCGATGCTGTTTTGCGTTAAAGGCGGATTGAAGACATAACGAGGGAACACGAAATCACAACGAAAACGAATCTCACTGTTTAGGTTCAGCCCTGGTGCCCACTTTTGTCCGTGCCCATGTCACATGTCGGGCGTCCAGACCGAGAAGCGGCCCAGGATGGACCCTGGGAGGGGCTGTGCTTGGCATCGCTCGGACGTCTGCGTTTTTTCTCGGCGAGAGCCATCGAGGGCCATCATGGACCATCGAGCAAAAAAACACGCCCGAAACGGACAACAATCACGGAACATGGACGTCCGAGCGACGGCACGTGTGGGACTGGCCCCCGAGCGGGCGTTGGTCGAGGGCGGGGCGGCGGGGGCGGCCGTCGGGGAGGCCAGGTCCTCTTGGAAGGGCTCGTGGATTCTCGGGAAGCCTTCCTCGAGGGTGGGAGGGCTGCCAAGGCGCCCTTGCCTTCTTAGAAAAGCGCCTTCTCGCCCTCCCATGGCCTGGGGCCTCTCCGATGGATGCTCCTCCTCCCCTCTTCCACCTCGAGGGAAAGTGGACTGTGTGGTTCTGCCCTTCTGGCTGGGCCCGTGCACGAGGTGCGGTAGCCCTGGGGGCGCGGACGTCCCTGAGGCCCGAGGGGTGTCCTCCTGCGGTAGGGTGAAGCTCCAGGGGGGTCAAGCTCACCATCGGGGCTTGAATATCAGTGCCGTGATCGAAAACCCGTTCCATCGAAAACAGCCAAGGGGCGCGAAGCTAATTGCGCCGCGCGACCCTCCCGACGTTTGGGTCAGGGACAAGTCGCCAGCAGATTCGTGAAGACTTTACATGTTTCCGCGACCTGCTTGTACACATCACGTGGCAGCACAAATACCAAGCGAGCACTTGCTTGCCATCCCCTTATTCCCCAGTGAGGCTTGCCTAAGTCGTTTTTTCTGTTCTTACTCGGTTAAATGTTGGTGCCTCCTACTGTTTTTGTAGTGGCCTCCAGCCAGTGCCGCCAATCCAGGACGCTTTTGATGCTATTGCTGGGATGGACGATGACGGCGACAACGGACGACCAACGGTCGACGAGTGGGATCATCACGACGACGACAGACGAACGGGTTAACGACGACGGTTGACGCCGACGATGACGACGACGACCACGACGACGACGGGGGAAAGGAGGACGAGGAGGAGAAAGAGGAGGCTGATGATGATGACGATAACGGTGACGTTTACGATTATCGAAGACGCCTACTGCGAATCACCGCCGCCCCCTGCCTTTTTGGAAGCGCCTATGTGGCCGAACGTTGAGGCCAGACCTGCCAAGCTATCGGACCATGTGTTCCCCGAATCGGTTTGGAAAGCCTTCGTGGAACACGTGGGCATCTTGAAGGTCATCTTGGCCGTCTGGAGGCCATTTTGACCCTTTCGGGCTTTCTTGGCGGACGTCTTGGAGGGCTCTTGGGCCGTCTTGGAGGCCACCTTGAGCGTCTTGGAGACCTCGTGGGCCGTCTTGGGGGCCCCTTTGGGCCGTGTCTTGAGCCTCTTGGGCGATCTTCGGGGGCATTTGGGCCGTCTCGGGCCGTCGGAAGGCAGAAAACAAGCAAATGCCACAATCCGTCAAAAACTAATGTGACATCAATGATTTTGGCCTTGTCGGGCCTTCCAGGAGGCCCTCTTGGAGGCCGTCTTGGGCCATCTTAGGACCATGTTCGGCCGTCTTGGTGAGCTCCTGGTCCGTCTGACGCCGTCGGAAGCCGTTTGGGGGGCCTCTATGGGCCAACTTGGGGCCCTCTTGGAATGCTCCAGGGCCGTCTTGGAGGCCATCTTGGGCGTCGTAAAGGCCTCCTGTGCCGTCTTGGGGGCCTCTTGGGGCCGTCTTGGGGCCCTCTTGGGCCGTTCTGGGGCCATCTTGGAGGCCTCTTGGGCGATCTTTCGGCGATCTTTGGGGGCTCTCGGGCCGTCTCGGGCCGTCGGAAGGCCGAAAAGAAGCACATGTCAAAATCCGTCCAAAAACCCTGGGACAATCACTGTTTTTGGCTTCTTCTGGCCTTCCTGGAGGCCCTCTTGGGGGCCTCTTGGGCCGTCTTGGGCCAGCTTCGAGCCAACTTCGGCCATCTTGGTGGGTTCCTGGCACGTCTGACGCCGTCGGGAGCCGTCTTGGGGGCCTTTCTGTGCCGACTTGGGGCCCTCTTGAGGCGCTTCGGGGCCGTCTTGGGGGCCATCTTGGGCGTCTTGGAGGCCATCTAGGGCGTGTTGGAGGCCTCTTGGGCCCTCTTGGGGCAGTCTTGGAGGCCACTTGGGCCCTCTTGGGGCCCTCTTGGGAGCCTCTTGGGCGATCTTGGGAGCCTCTTGGGCCGTCTTGGGCCGTCGGAAAGCCGAAGAGGCGCAAATGCCAGAATCCTTCAATAATCTAAGGCAAATCTCGTCGGGCCTTCCTGGAGGACCTCTGGGAGACCTCTTGGGCCGTCTTGGAGGCCTCTTGCGGGCCTTTTGGACCGTCTTAGACTGTCTTGAGGACATCTTGGGCCGTCTTGGGTACATCTTGGAGCCATCTTAGCCGTCTTTGAGGCCATGTTGGCCGTTTTGGAGCAACTTGGAGGCCATCCTGGGACATCTTGGCCGTCTTGGAGGCCATCTTGGGGCAAGAAAGGCGACGACAGGTGGGTTTTCCGGGTTGCCGGCGGGACGGGCCGAAGCCCCAGGGGGAGTTTCTTGGGAACAGGAACCAAAACCAACACCGAAATAGTTCAGCACGCCAGGCACCCCATTGATAAATCAAAAGGGGGCGGCGGATGTAGTGGCCTTCGGCCAATGCCGCCACCGTGCCTGAGTGGTGTCGGAGGGCTTTTCAGTGTTCACTGGGATCTCGTGGTAGGTCTCTCGGGGGCCTCATGGGTACACTTTTGAGGCTTCCTGGGGGCCGTTGTGGGGACCCTCGGGGCCTCTTCTGGGCCTCTTGGGTCCTGCTGGGAGCCTCTTGGGGGCCTCTTGGGACCTCTTGGGGCCCTCTTGGGGTCCTCTTGGGGGCCTCTTGGGACCTCGGGGGCTTCTGGAGGCCGAGGGCTCGAAATTGACGTTCGGGTTCCCCGTCTGGCTCCCCTCTTGGAGCCGTCTTGAGAGCCTCTGGGGCCGTCTTGGTGGTTTCGTTGGCAGTCTTAGGGCTCTCTTGGGCCGTCTTGGGGCGATCTTGGGGGCCTGTGGGGCCGTCTTGGGGCGATCTTGGGGTGGGGGCCTCTGGGGCCGTCTTGGAGCGTCGGGAAGCCGAAAAGGCGGGAAGGCCAGAATCCTTCCAATACCATGGCTTCTAAGGGTCCTCTTCTGAGGGCTCTTGGGGGCTTCTTGGAGCGTCTCGGCGGCCTCTTGGGCCGTCTGGAGGTCATCTTCGGCGTCTTGGAGCACTTTTTGGGCTTCTCGGAGGCTTCTTGGGCCCTCTTGGCCCATCTTGGGGCCCTCGTGGGCCCGGAAAAGCCCCTCCGGAAAGCGGACAATTCGTCCCCTCCCCCCCTTCCCGGGCAGAGCCCCCCCGGCCCCCCCCCAGCAGAGCTGAAGCTCAGGCTGTAGGCTGTAGGCTGTAGCTGAGACTTTTTCTAACTCACACGCCGCATCGGCGGACTTTGCCCGTTGCTCGAAATTTTCTCGGGTTCCTCGGCTTCCTCGGGCTCACCGCTCCCGCTTGCCCCAAGCAATGCCAAGCAATGCCAGGCAATACCAAGCAATGCCAAGCAATGCCAGGCGAAGCCGAGCGAAGCGCCCAGCGATGCGCCCATGCAATCGGCTTTCCCCTACTTGGGGTCGCGCCGATTTCATGCGGCTTAGCTCCGCGCAGTAATCCGGCCGAGTCGGGTTGAATTCGAAGGAAGCGCAATCCGGGCTGCTTTAGCTCCATCGGGCCTAAAGTGGCCCATCGGCGTTTTGATCCGGGGCCGGCGGGCGAAGGCCTCCCAGGAGGAGACGGTCTACTTTTTGTGGTTTGGCGAGGAGCCCGGATTATCGGGCCTGCCGCCCCCCCTCAGACAATGTCGGTTGCGCAGGTCCGACGCAGTTTTTGTGAACGCGGGTATACGCGGGGCTGTCCTCCACGGGGGGCAGATCGTCCTGATCTCGGAGGTGGTGGTAACATTCGGGCTTCCTAGGTAGCCGAAAGAAATCCACCGACATCAAGATCTAGGGTAATCTTCCCCAAGGGGGAGGTCACCCCCTGTGTCGGTAGTGATGCCCCCTTCCAGGCCTCCAGCACCTCCTCCCCCGACCTCCGCGCGCGTGTCTCAGCTCACTGCAACATGTCGTGGAGGAGGGGCAGGAGGGGGAGGAGGAGGAGGAGGAGGAGGAGGAGGAGGAAGAGGAGGAGGAGGAGAGCTGTCTTGTTTCAGGCATTTGCTTGAGGGGCGGCTTTCTTTCTGCACCTGACAGTTTGATTTGTTCCCCGCTCACACGTGCCATGGTGGTGTCTGCTCGACTGGACTGGGTGATGAGGCAGTCCGCCGCATGGAGACACGTGCACCTCTCTTTGAGCCAGGTTCGGGACGCAGGCAAGGCCCACATCAAAATGGTTTTCGCCCGTGCCGGCGCGTCGTCGGCAAGTCCAGTGCAGGCCGCCGCGCTACGTGCGCTCGTTGTGGCCTTTCTCGTGCAGCTCCCGCCCGACTTCACTGCTGTGGATCGGGGCCATCTCCACAGCGATGGCACATCAGTCGTTCAGGTATGGCTCTCACCACGTCATGCGGGTGCCCCTGGTCTTCCTGCTCGCGCGGCCCCTCCAGCTCGTGCGCAAGGACCTGGCGAAGATGGAGACCTGGTCGCCCGCGGAGCGGGACGTGGTTCCGGCCAAGGCAGCGCGGGGCACGCCTCGGCGCCGGGCCATTGACACATTGAGTGCTGCCCCTCGCGAGGACGACAACCCGGATTCGTCCCAAGAAGCAGAGCCTGCTGATGTTGCGATCCAGATGCCTGTTATCGAGGCTGCAGCCGCTCTTCCTCCACTGATGTCGACTCCTGGGGGTGCATGCGCCACTCTCGGGGGTGGACGGACCTCCTACCCTGACATGTCGATTAAGGAGTTGGCCGTTTTTGGTTCACGAGAGGGCGTCGCGGCCGTCAATTTTGCGGGTCCAGGTCCGTCGGTTTCGGTCCCAAGCCGGTTTCACTAAGGGGAGGTCTACTAAAGGGAGGTTTGTCCAACGCCGACATTTCGGAATTGTCTCGCCAGCTTCGAGCTCTGAGCGAACGCGTGACGCCCGCGATGCACGGCGCAGGCTTCCCCCTTCCTCAGTGGCTGGCCTCAGTCGCAGCCCCCTCCGCGCCGTCCTTAGCAGATTTGGAACGTCAGTTGAAAGCTCCGCGTGATTCCAGCGGTTTTAGCTGCCCTGGCACGTGAACAGTTGAGTCGCCAGAGTCAATTCCCGCAACGAGCAATTGGAGTTTCGGCCTCGGGTGGATTCGGCGCTGGTCGCGGCTCTTAAAATTGCCCCTGGCCCCGTGCGGCCCCTGTGTGGCGTTGGGGTTCTCCTGGACACTATTAGCCCGCGCGCCCTTCTTGCGGGCCTTTCTCTCCTTTTCTTCTTCTTCTTTCGTCCTCCATTGCGCCCCCCTTTTTTTTGGGGGGGCCTATGCTTTTGGCGGTGCTTTCCGTGCGGCCCGTGGCTCCGGGGACCCTCGTCGCCTCCGCCCCCCCTGCTCGTTCTCTTCTCGGTCTCATCTCATTCGGGGCGTCGGCCCTCTGAAGAAGAAGAAGAATAAGAACAAAAAAATAAGGAAAAAGGAAAAGGAAAAGGAAAAGAAGAGGGGGAGGAGGAGGGGAAGGAGGAGGAGGAGGAGGAGGAGGAGGAGGAGGAGGAGGAGGAGGAGGAGGAGGAGGAGGGGAAAATAAACAGCAGTCTTGCCCGGCGCTTCCTCGGGGCGCCCCCGAGGCTCCCCCGAGCGGGCTACCAGTCGAGGAGGCCCCCTGCTGCCCTCGGGCGCGCCCCCGCCGCAGGTGGGCAGCTCCGTCGCCGTCGGCTTCGATGCCGCTGCGCTGCCCCCGCGCTCGCTGGCGGAGGAGGAGGCGCCCACCCCTTTAGGGGGGGAAGAGGTACCTGCTACCCTTGCCTCGTGTCCCTCCTTTTTTGGGGGGTCTCCTGGGAAACCCTCGTCGCCACGGCTGGATTCGCTTCGGAATCCGTGTCAGACTTCACCCCAGGAGAGGTCTGGGGAGTAGCGGTATCGGTACATATTGGTTTCCCCACCTCCGGGTGGCCCACCTTCAGACCCCGGGGTCGCCCCCAATTATTCTTCTCCGCTCAATTTGTCGAGGCTTCCCAGGTGGGGTCCGAGCAGATGGTCTGCACGAGCGATATGGGCACGGAAAGAATGGGTACAATGCCCAACAGCGGATTTTGTTCATTTTGAACAGGACTCGTTGTCCACGCCGCCGCGGCCTGTGTCCATTCGAGACAGAACCAACAGCGGCCGCTGTTGCGTTGGGGCAACATTTGTTGTTGGGCATTGTACCCGTTCTGTCCGTACCCATCTCGGGCGTCCAAAGATGGGGTCGGAGGATCGCGCCGCATCGGCGATGCGGCTCGATGCGGAGCCTGGGCCTCTCCACGCCGACATCGCCGACGCATCGCCGATGCATCGACGATGCATTGACGATGCGGAACGATTTTCCGCCAGCCGGACCCCGTTAGGGAGGCCTCTACATCTGCTTTTGGCCCAGACCTCCAGCGCACCGACCAAAAAACACGACGGAGGTGTTTTTCGCAGTCTTCGGCCACCGTGGCGGCCCATTGTCAAAACAGGCCAGAGCTCCAAGGACTTCGTATGAGAAACAACAAGACGTCGGATGACTACGCTTCTCTTTCTCTCTCTTTCTGTCTTGCTCTTGATCCCCCTTCGGAGGAGGAAGAGATACCTGTACCGCTGATTGTCTTATGACGATCCAACCTGCTTTAGCCTTGGCCACCAGCAGAGCTGTCGAACACCAATCAAGCACGATAATTGGAGGGCCCTGAAGGGTTACACCCCTGGGCAGACACTATTTCTACTGCTTTATTGTGTGCTGGAAATCTGTGTGGGATGTTGTCCTTCGGCGCGATGGGAACAACATAATGCTGGTCCTGGGGAGCCCCTGTCGCCACGGCCGGATTCGATTCGAAATTCAGGTCAGGACGCACCTCGGTAAAATATTCGGGGCGTAGCAGCATGGGTACCGTTTTGCCCTTAAGTGTTCTATATGTCCCTCTCTCTCCCTTCCTTTGTTTCTCCCACCTCCCTCCTCCTCTGCCTCGTTCCTCCTGCCCCTCTCCCCGCCCTCTCTCCCCCTCCTCCGCGCCAACCTCTCACCCGTCTCCCCTGGCCTTTGTATGGATTCGTGCTCCTCTCCTTGGGCTTTCCTTCCTGGCTTACCCCCCTCCTTCCTCCAGCATCTCTGGCGACGGGGGAGGATGAGTGCGGGTAAAAAAGGGGGAGATGAGAGAGCGGACAGGGGAGGATGGGAAAGGAGGCCTACAGTAGGAAGGATGGTGGAAAGGGGATGAGAGAGGGAGCAGTTCAATGAAGTACCACGATGGCACCATGACAGTGTACGAAGGTGGGATTTTAACATGGAATGTGAATACGAAGCGCGCTCTTGCGCTCGTTCCCCGCTCCCCCTCCCTTGTGTTTTTGTCGCACAAAAGCCTCCTACGCCCAGTCTCGATCCTCGGACGTCCAAGGATAGACTGACGCGCTTGTGGGAAGGACGCCATCCCAAATCAGGGTCCCCTTGTGCATGCCAAGTCGGCATGAAGCCAGCAAACTCGCATTGCTCGGACCTGTGGTGAGAGTTCTCCGTCGAGTGCCCCTGAGCGCAGAAACCGCTGGCCGTCGTGATAAAACGGTGCGGAGTAAGTATCAGAGGATGTGGAGTTATTCCTGCAGCAAGGACGAGCGGGGTGAGTTCCCCCCCGACGTCGGAGTACGTCTTCCGTGTGGGAAACCGTGCGGAGTATTATTTCACAGCAACGAGCATGTAGGAATTCAAACGATTCCAGAGAGCTTGGGTGTGGGCCGACGACACCTACTCCACCGCCGCTGGAATCATGTTGTCGGATCCCACAGTTGGAAGGGGGTTCCACGTCTACTGGGACTGTCAAACTTTAGGAAAGCCATTGTACCCCGCCCCTCCCCGCAGCGCTCCTCCCTCCCTTCCCCAGGTGCGGCGCAGGGTGGTGGTGAAGATCTTCGACTGGGGCAGGCCCTCGGCAGGGGCTGGGCTCAGACCCCGCCGCCCCTGTCCCGCGAGCTCTCGAGGGGGGGGGGGGGCTCAGGGGCACTTGCTTGTCGCTTGGCGCACGCGGCGGAGGGCCTTCCTGCCCGGCTACCCGCCCAGACTTCTGATGTTCCAACCTGTTTCCGCCTTGATCATCAGACAGTATTTCGAGCGCCAGAAAATAAAGTACCGAAATTCGAGGGTGTTCACGTGTCGGGCCCTGGGAGACACTCGCCCGACACTGCTTCGACACTCTTTCGACACTTTTCCGGGTGCTCGAAATTATTTATGGGATGTGGTCCTTAAGTACGATGGGAGCAACATAAGCCTAGACCTCAGAGGGAACGTCAGGGTCCAGGGGGGCCCGAGTTTGTCGGACGGTTCTGTCGGTTCTCGGCTGTTTTCCGGCCTCGGGGTGCTCTCCAGCAGTGGAGCTTCGCCGAGGGTGTTCCACAGTCCCGAGTTGCCGCCGCAGATGATGGGCTTGTTTTGCACGACCACCACCATATGTTGGAGGGTGAGGGGGTCATCCTCCTCCTCCTCCTCCACCTCCTCCACCTCCTCCTCCTGCTCCTCCTCCTCGTCCTCCTCCTTCCCCCCTCCAGCTTATGGTGGTGGTGGTGGGAAACAGGCCCATCAGCAGAGCCGAGTTCTGACCCGATGACCAAGGAGCAACGTCAGGGAGAAGTGGGTTCCTGGTGCGATGCGTCGGCCCACGATCGCGCATCGATCGCGCGTCTCGGGGGAGGGGCGGGAGCACCCTTGGCACTGCTGTGTCCTGGAGAGAGCTGGGGTCCAGGGCTTCGGGCGTCGAGCAAGGGGGGTGCGATAGATCAGGAGGGACAAAACCACACACAGACACAATTAATTGTCGATTCCCAGAACATATTGGAAAATATGGGAAGTAGGGGGGAAGACGAAAACACAGAAAATATAACAAATATGGGGAATCCGGCTATTTGTGTCTACTTATTGAATCGCTTTGCTCATTCCGCCGGCCCGTATTGTGCCATCGCGGGTTCTTGGGGGGTCTTGGGAGCCCTTGGAAGCTTCGTGGGAGCTTCTTGGGGATTTGGGGAGGCCTCGTGGATGGCTCTGGGTGGGCCCTCTTGGTGGTCTCTTGGGGGGGGTCTGCCTGGCCTCTTGGGGGCCTCCTGGGAGCTTCCTGGGGGTCTCTTCTCTTGGGGGCCTCTTGGGGCTTTCTTGCGGCCTGTTGGGGACCTCTTGGGGCTCTCTTGGGGGCTTCGTGGGGCTACTTGGGGGCTTGTAGGGGCATTTCGGGGGCGTGTTTGGGCGGGAGGCTCAAAATTTCCGTTCAGGTTGCCCCTATGGACCTCAATCATGGGGCCGTCTTGGGGCCAAGATTGGGCCTTCTTGGAGCGCTCTTGGGCCGTCTTTGAGCGGTCTTGAGGGTCTCTCGGGCTGTCTTGGGGTGATCTTGGGGGCCTCTTGGACCGCCTTGAAAGGTGTGAAAGACGAAGAGGCGGATATGTTAAACATGCACGCTTTCCGAAGGGAATGGTACGATTTTTGCTTGTGGGAGCCCTCTTGGGACGCCGCTTAGGGACCTCTTGGGGCGTCTTGAAGGCCTGTTGGGCCGTCTTGAGGCCATCGTAGGCGCTTGGGGGTGATATTTCGGCGTCTCCCGGCTCTCTTGGACCGTCTGGAGGGCTTCTCGGGCCCCTCTTGGACCGATTTGGAGCCCTCCTGGGCTCCGAAAAAGAGTTCTTGAGGGTGTCTTGGGCCTTCTTGGAGCGCTTTTGGGCCGTCTTGGAGCGGTCTTGAGGGTCTCTCGGGCCGTCTTGGGGTGATCTTAGGGGCCTCTTGGACCGCCTTGTAAGGTGTGAAAGACGAAGAGGCGGATATGTTAAACATGCACGCTTTCCTAAGGGAATGCAGCGATTTTTGCTTGTGGGAGCCCTCTTGGGACGCCGCTTAGGGACCTCTTAGGGACCTCTTGGGGCGTCTTGAAGGCCTGTTGGGGCGTCTTGAGGCCATCGTAGGCGTTTGGGAGTGATATTTCGGCGGCTCCCGGCTAACTTGGACCGTCTGGAGGGCTTCTCGGGCCCCTCTTGGACCGATTTGGAGCCCTCCTGGGCTCCGAAAAAGAGTTCTTGAGGGTTTGTTGGGCCCTCTTGGAGCGCTCTTGGGCCGTCTTCGAGCGGTCTTGAGGGTCTCTCGGGCCGTCTTGGGGTGATCTTGGGGGCCTCTTGGACCGCCTTGTAAGGTGTGAAAGACGAAGAGGCGGATATGTAAAAAATGCACGTTTTCCTAAGGGGATGGGACGATTAGGGACCTCTTGGGGCGTCTTGAAGGCCTGTTGGGCCGTCTTGAGGCCATCGCAGGCGTTTCGGAGTGATATTTCGGGGTCTCCCGGCTCTCTTGGACCGTCTGGAGGGCTTCTCGGGCCTCTCTTGGACCGTTTGGAGCCCTCCTGGGCTCCGAAATGGGACCTTGCTGGGAGTCTGCCGGGAGTCTGCCGGGACCTTGCCAGGAGTCTGCCGGGACCTTGCCGGGGTACTTTTCGTCCGGGGACCCCCAGGGCCCGCCCCGCGCGCGCGAACTAGAAATATTGTTGAGCAGTTACCGGAGATCTTAGCACGCCTCTGGCCCGTTGTGCCGGCGAATTTGTGTGTCCCACGGCCCCTTCATACAATGGGGGTAAAGCAAGGTGCACCCTTTGTGCCCCGAAGGTGCCCAGAAGGGGTGTGAAAGGTGAACGCTTCTTCCCCCGCGTTTATCGCCCCTCATGAACTAACGCCCGAGGGTTTCTTCTGTTGGTGACCCCGTCTCCCGGTGCCTCGTCTGAGGGAGGCTGGCGAATTCCGCTTGATAGCAAAGGTGGTGAGGTCAAATGCTCAATCGAATACACAAGCGCGGTTCGGTTCGCACGAGCCCTCGCGAGGAAAGTGCGCACGCGTTCTCGGACCCTCGCGGAAGAACGGTGTCTGCGGAGCGTTTTGTGCAGAATTTTTCTGAGGGACGCGAGAAAGAAGTGTGACACCATTGTGCGAATATTTCAAGCCGTTGACTCTGCGCGTGCTCGCTTCAGAAATGCGCGCCCCGCGCGGAGAACCCTCTGCAAATAGCAAGGTGCGGACGTCCCAGAAGGCCCAGGAAGCCCCTGAGCGCTCCTGGATGCCACGGGAACCGGCATCCTGCGCAATCAGCGAAGGATGGTGGCCCCAGGAGCGCGGAGGCAGCGTAAGTAACAAGGATGCTGGCCCTGGGGGCAGAGACGCATCTAAATTCACGAGGGATCGAGGTCCTGGGAGTTGGGCGGGGCGTAATTCACGAGGGATCGTGGTCCTTGAAACGCGGTGGCAGTGTAAGTTACGAGGGCTCGTGGCCCTGAGAGCGCGAAGCCAGCATCATTTGCAAGGGATCGTGGCGCGGACGCAGCGTAATTCACTACGGATTATTGCCCTTGGAGTGCGGACTCAGCGAAATGTCCAATGGACCATGCTTTCGGAGCGCGGACACAGTGTAATGTACGGGGGATCGTGGCCCTGGGAGTGCGGACGCAGCGTAATTCACAAGCGATCGTGATACTTAGAGTGCAGACGCAGCGTATTTTCTTAGGTATTGTGGCACTGGGAGCGCGGGTCAGCATCATTGTCGAGGGATCGTGGCTCTGGGCTTTCGGAGCATGCGTAATCTACAGGGGTTCTTGGCTTCTGGAGCGCGGATCTAGTTAAAGTGGCAAGGCCTTGGGAGTGCGGATCCAGTGGAGAAGATTTTCATAGCAGTATTGGTCGTCCCCAGTCTCGTCCTCTGGCGTTTCGTGGTGCGTCCCGTGACACTTCCGCTGGCACGACCCCTGGTTTGCGCGTCTCTTGGCACGTCTGCGGCGTGTCCCCTGATACGCTCCGTGGCTCATCCCATGGAGCCTCCCTTGGCACGTTCCCTGGTGTGTTCCTCGGCGCTTCCCTTGGCACGTCCCCTGGCGCGTCCATTGACACGACCTCTGGCACGTTCAGTGGCGCGTTCCGTGCCACGTCCCCTGGCTCGTCCTTTGGCGTTTCTCATGTCCGTTCCTTGGCGCGTCCCCTGGCGCATCCCTTGCCACGGCACGTCCCTTAGGACGTCCCCTGGCATGACGTCCCTTGGCACGTCTCCTGGCACGCCCCCTGGCACGTCCCTTGGCACGCCCCGTGGTTCCTGACACGCCCATGCGACGTCCCCAGAACAGCGTCCCCTGGCGCACCCCCTGGTGCGCCCCTGGCACACCCCGTGGCGCGTGCATGCGCCCTGCGCCCCCTGTCTCTTTCGTCTCGTTGCAGACGCGAATAGGATCGCGAGCTCGGGCTGGTTGAGCGCCCCGCGCGTTTCGACTACAGCACTATAGCCAGTTTGGGCAGCCATGCGGTCAGGCAGCTCAAGCAAAAGTATTGAGCAGCACACCTCCTCACTGTCCGGCACAGCATGGCACAGCGCAGCAAAAGCACCGCCCCTGGCACGGTCTCGCCACCACGGACATCTTCCTCGCTGCCTCCTCCCATTGCCCAAGTTACTGGCGAGCGCGTGCCCCTGACCCTGGAGGCCTGGGAGGCACCGTGGAAAAGGGTGAGCAGCATCGATGCCATTCCGAGCCAAGCGGGGTCCATGCCTCGACGTCCTGACCTGGAGTGATCCTCGAGGGAGAAGGACGAGACGTTTGCGAGGGTTCCGGAAGCTTGGACCAGGTCAGGTCGGGCAAGCCAACAGTCGGAAGGCGAAAGAGTCCGCGACTGACAACCGAGACATTGGCCCAAGAGGTCCTGACCGCTTCTCTGGGAAAAGTGTTTTGTCCCAGACGCGTTTTCGATGGTCCTGGGGCCCGATGACGGGCTTCAGATGCCGAGATCGAGGAAACACGCCGTGGTTGAAGCATTGCAGGGTCGGAGATTTGAAAACTCTGTGGGGAATAAGGCAAACATACTGTAGAGCGACTGCGCGCGCTGAGAGATTCGGCCGCGAAGCAGAGACGTCCAAACAAGGCAGTCTAGCAAACGAGTAAGACATGCCCAGTGGTGGTCGCAGCGTCCCCTGGGAAAAGGACGATTGAAACAATGCTCCCTGTTCTCGTCGTCGTCGTCGGTGCTGTCGAGGCCGCCAGGCCGCCGCCAGCGACCCAGACGAGAACCAACTCTTCTCCTACACCGTCCCTGCCCGACGTTCTCAGTCTGGACCCCCCCCCCCCCCGATGGCCCGACCCGTGCCGCGCAGGTCGGAGCTCAACACGCCCGAGAGGCCCGCCGCCGCGCCTCCCGCGCTTTCTGCGCCGGCCGGCGCAGCGGCGGCGACGCCGCCGCCGCAGGACGAGGGGGAGGAGCGGGCAGGGGCGAAGGAGGGCACTTTTTGGTCGGCTCGCGGCGGTGCTCCAGCCTCGGGGTGCGGGGAGGAGGGGAGGGCGGGAGGGTGAGGAGGCTGAGGGGGTGGAGGAGGAGGTTGACGGCCCAGAGTGTGTGAGGATGGGGGAAGGAGGCGGAGGACGAGAACGAGAGCACGAGGCATAAAGGGAGGCGAGCGGAAATGGAGGGAAGTGCCTTCAGAAGAGATCTTTCACACCCTGGCGGGGTTCAGTCCCATGCAAGGGGCCACAGACCACCCTCCCCGATCTTTTGCTGGATGGACCAAACCAAGAGATGAGAAAGCCAGCTCCGTTTTGTGGTGTTCGAGCTTTTGCGCCTCTGGAGCTGCCGTTCAATACTTGCACGGCAAAGGCACTTGTGTGCATGAGAAATGACGCAAGCGCATGTTGCCACCCACCTTCCAGCAAATGTTGTTACAGTCGCGAATGTTGAGTGGTTCGATTTTGCGAACATCTAGGGTATCTTTACTTCCTCTCAATCCCTGATACCTCGCGCGCCGACCTGAGTACAACACGCCCACGCCCCCCGAGTAATAGGCACCCCGGCGCCGACCCCAAGGAACAATAGGGAGGTGAATTCCCTTGGGAGACGGAGGGGAACGACGATACATCACATGTAGGAACGCGCAGTTCAAACAGGAGGGGTGGCCAGCCCATGCTGCCCCACAATCCTCTGTCGCAATGTCTTGTGATATGGACGACCTTCCGTAGAGGCGTCGCGAAGACGTGGTGATATGGACGACCGTCCGTAGAGACGTCCGTGATATGGGTGATTGATTTCTTCGTGGCAGCGGGGAGGCACGAATATGCCAGGAGTCAACCATGAAGGTCTTCGCTTCTTGTTGTCATTGTGAATGTCTCTTGAGGCGTTTTGCGAGGCATCTGGGGCGGTCTTGGTGCTCAGTTGAGGCCCTGCATGATCTGCCCTCCCCTTCCAAACAGGCCTGGGGGCACCCGAGTGGGTCCCCAACTCCGTCACCAAGAGGGAACCCCGTGCGTTGGGGTTACGGTCCCGGGTCCCTAGCCACAAGAAGACGCAACGTGATCAACTACGGTATGCTATAGGAAATGCAAGCAGGGGCGGCCTGGCAGGGGCGGCAGGGGAAGGAGAGGAAGGGGAAGAGGGGGAGCTGAGCGGGGTGGGCGATCTGCCCTCCCTCCCTTTCTCCGCCTCCCCTCTCGGGGGCAGGAGACGCGACACCACCACCACTGGGGGGGGCCACCTCCAGCGGGGGGGGTTCTCGACGCCTCCCCGAGCTGGGGCCAGGGGATGTCTCGAGCGAGCGAGGGGTGGGGCCCACGCCACCCGGGGGGCACCGCCTGGCTCCTCCCCCCGGTGGTCCTTGGCGGTGGCGGTGTCGCTGTTCATTGTTCCTGCTTCCTCTTCCCGTGGAGCCCGATTCGATTTTAACGTGCTTCGGAGCTCTTGCTCATCTTTGGGGGCTACGTTCCGAGGCCCGCTGCGGAACCCGCAGATACAGTCACTGCGAAGGAAGACCTCTCACAGAGTTTCCAAGCTTCCTCGTTCAAGCGTACTATGCTCCCAGATGGCAGCACCTTCATGCATGCAGTGCTTGAGCTGTGCCTTGCTGGCTGGTGGTTTGCAGTCGTAGACGGCGAAGGCTTCTCGGCATGATGTATGATTTGTTGCCTCCCTGCCACCCCCAGTCTGCTCCAGCAGATGAGTTCGCGGCCTTCTGTAAGGTCGTGATGTTTGCGATCGAGCCTTCAGGTTTCTATATAGACGCCCAGCTTGCAAAGGATCATTGTTCTCGCCAGCGTGGGGATCAGTTGTCTCCTGAGCGTTGCTACAGTGGTTTCTCGCTCTCGTGTCTCAGTGATCTGTTGAAGGCTATAGAGGCCTGCACAGAGTCAAGGCCCACCAGGCTATATATTAGTGCAGATTGGCGCATGATACGACGTGCCGTTTGGGGGACCATTGGGCGGACATAGGGGCCAAGCACGGTTCTGCGGGGGAACGCCACCTCAGACATCCTCAGTCTTTCCAGTGTGACATTGCCCGCCTAGATCTAGATATCAAGATGTCTACGTAGGAATGTGGCCAGGCTTGACAATTCAATTGATGTCGTCATGGCCACGTTTGGATGTGTTAGAAGCTGTGCGGATTGAAGCGTCCAAGGTCCCTCCGCCCTCTGGGAATTCCATGTGCGACTGGCAGGCCATCCCGCAGACTCAGTTCGCATCGTATCCTGGCTTTTTGGAAGTGCTCAGCCTGTGGCAGAGTGAGCCGCTCTACCTCTCATGGTCCTCCTCCCCCTCCAGTGCGCTGCAACCCCGTGTTCGGCTTCCTCCTCGGCAGTGCTCGAAGGCAGCGGTCACAAGTGCCTCACAGTCGCCTGCTCAGAAGCCGCCTCGTTTGTCCTTTGTTTGGAGTGCTACTCTTACTCGTCTCACGGGCGAGTGTCTGGTTGGGGGGTGAGTGCAAGGATTCTGCGAAGTCCACCAGACGTAATAACTGTGGACCGATCCGTAAGGGCCGCCACCCCAAGCGCCCAGAGGACACGGTCGAGCGTGGCCAGCAGGCCATTCCTCCAGGCTGAGCTCTGCTTGTCTCTGTTGCTGCAGCCCTGGGCCCCGCTTCTTCCGAGGCCCCTGGTGCCGGCAGCTCCGCTCCTCCCCACCCCGCGGGTCAGGCCCGAGGGCTTCGGCCCTCCTTCGTGGTGGCGTCGTATCATGAGCAGCTGATGCCGATGTCGAACAATCCTCCCGCCCTCCCTTCCTCCTCCCTCGCCGTCCTCCTCCCTCCTCATTCCCCGCTCTCCTCGTCCTCCCTCCCTCCCTCCCCTCCCCCTGTGGCGCCGACGGCCTCCCCGAGGGAAAGGTCCCGACGAGGAGATGCCGCCCTCTGCCCGCCTGCCGGGGAGCCGTTCCCCCCTCACCCCCCCTGGAGGGCCGACGACCTCCCACGGGACAGACCGAGAGGTCTGGCACTTTCCCCTCGGCCTCGCCCCTGGAAGCACCAACAGCCGGATCTTGGGAAGGGGCCGGGACCTGCGGGGCCGTGGATCGAGCACAAATCCTACCTCTGCCGCTGTGCCCGCCAGGGAAGCGCGAGCACGGACCCCCTTCCCCCCCATCGGCTGACCGACGACCTCCAAGGGGACGAGAGTTAAGTCGGGCCTGTCCCTCTACAGGGGGGATATTCCAAAATAGTCAAAACATAGTCTGGGACTATTTTTTTGAGTGTTTCTCTTTTTTTTTATAGTTTTTCCCCAATCAGAGCTTGCCTCTGTAGGGGTCCTAGCGGATTAAAGGGTTAGGTGAGAGGTGCGGCCGATTTCGGTGGCCGGGCCCGGGTGCCCGGGTGCCCGGCGGTGCCCGGGTGCCTGGGTGGCCGGTGAGGTGCGTGGCCGATTTCGGTGGCCGGGCCCGGGTGCCCGGGTGCCCAGGGGTGCCCGGGGGTGCCCAATAGCCCAGTAGCCCTATAGCCCTATAGCCCTATTAGCCCTATAGCCGTATAGCCCTATAGCCCTGTAGCCAGCCTTAATAGCCTTATATCCCTATAGCCCTAATAGCATTATATCCCTAAAGCCCTAGTGCCCCATAGCCCATATAGCTCTATAGCCCCATAGCACTATAGCCCTGTGGCCTTATAGGTCACAGTCCTGTAGCCCTATAGCCCTATAGCCCGATAACTTAAGGGAGCAGTTGGAGGATTTAAAAAATCTGATTGGGGTTTTTCTCCGGTATCATTTTTGAATATGTTTTATTTATTTCTCGTCCAAAATCCCCCTGTAGGGTGACAGGCCCGACACAGGACGAGAGGCACTCTAGGGCAACGCCAGGGTGGGGAGTGGGCTCAGGGGGGCGGGAGGGGCGCTTCGACCTGTAATAGCCCTTTCATCGCCGATGGTGCCCTTTGTCCCGCTCCCGCCCGGGGCCTCGTGGATTCGCTCTCGGATGCCTTCACCGATTCCAGCTCGATGGGTCCCCCCCGCTGAGTCGGTTCCCCTAACTTTCCCCCTCAAGTCATTCCCAGACGGCGCCGGCGCGAATCGTCACGTTACTGGGGGGAAAGAGGTGGACAATCCTGGCACAACGGGCGTTATCAAGAATCGTCCAAAACGCGCTCGAGTTGGGGGAGAGGAGCAAGAGGTCTACAAGAGGACCCCCAGGAGAAGCCACAGAGTCCAAACACTATGTTTTCCCGTTCAAGTTTGAATGATGTGGGCGTTTGTTCTTTTTCGGGGTTCCGACGGTCCAAGACGAACCAAGAGATCCCCGAGGAAGCGGGAACCAGCTCCCAGACATTCGATGTCTTGATTTTTGCAAGACGCAGTCCTGGGAAGTCAGCTTTTCATCCCGAGACGATGTTTGACGATCCCAGCGCCCGGCGAGGGCATCTAGGGGCATCTAGAGGCCGAGAATGGCGAAAGCCCAGCGTTTTGTTTCTAAGCACGTTGGATCTCTGGTTCTTTGGGAGGAGGGGGATGGCTTAGGGCTTCCCGCCCTCCTCGTCCAGGCACAGACGCCTGTCCGACGCCGAGAAGAAAGACAGGGCGATCCCTCCACCCGCCGCGGCTCCCTGGCCCCCCGCGCGCGGGCGCGCGTGACGCGGCCGGCGCACGCGAGGCGGAAGAGAAGCAAGAGGAGGAGGCGGGGGAGGAATATGAGGAAGGGGAAGAGCGAGAATGGCAGGCACTCGAACGACGTGGTTCCAGGCGCGGCGCTTTTTCTGTGGGCTCGGGATGAGATCATGGACTTGTTCGCCGAGGCTACGCCCGAGGAGGAGGGGGGGAGCAGAGCTGATAGTACCGACCATCGAGTTTCGTCTTCGGCGGTGCTGACCGAGCTCACGAGCCTGGTCTCCGATGCCCGTGCGAGGAGGAGGCCTCTTGTTGTGTTTGAGGGCGCGCGGCAGTAGCGTGCGGTCTGCGGCAGCGAAGCGAACAGAGAAGGGTGGGATGGGAGAGGCGGGAAAGAGGAGGAGGAGGAGGAGGAGGAGGAGGAGGAGAGGGGAGGAGGAGGAGAGGGGAGGAGAGGGGAGGAGAAGGAGGAGGAGGAGGAGGAGGGACAGGGGAGGCCGAGAAGGATTTATATGGTGGTGATGGTGATGGTGATGAGGGTGCTGGTGATGGTGGTGATGTCGGTGATGGTGATGGGGATTGTGACGGGGATGGTGTTGGTGATGATGGTGGTGATGGTGGTGATGGTGATGCTGGCGTTGGCTATTATGATTTTGATGGCGAAGCTCCCAAGATAACCCAATAAGCCCCAGAACGTTGCCACTCTGATACAACATTGCTCGTATTGCGCTTGGGATGTGTGTTTTAGTCTCGTTGTCCTGGGCTACAGGATGTTGCACTTGTCCTTTTCGTTAGAGCACGTGTGGCAGCCTCTGAATCGTTCTACCACGCCCGCATGTGTGTCGAAACCAAGTTGGAGGCCTTTTGTGTGATTAGTGCAGAACGTTTAGTCATGACGATGGACTACAACCTGCATGAATGGCCCAGGAGAGTCCTAGCTGGCCCCCGAGACTGCCCCAAGACACCCCAAAGACGGCCCCAGGACCCCCCCAGGCAGCCCCAAAGGGAGAAGGGAGGCCGAAAGAGCCAGGAGAGCGCACAATACGCGCTAAGAAGGCCGTGCGATCGTCCAGTAATCCGAGGCCGCAGGCGGGAGGGAGGAGGAGGGATACAGGACTCGAGGGCATGAGGGCAGGGGGGTGGACAGGCGAGGATGCTTGGAAGACGGGGTGGGGAGGATGGGAGAGGGAGAACGAAGAACGCGAGGTTACTGAAGGCGACGGATGAATCAGGATGGGGGCCGCATCACTGAAGGGCGGAGTGGAAGGAGGAGCGAGGAAGGATGGTGGCGATGTTTCCCTCGCTGGCCCTCTGAGGGTGTCCTTGTCACTGTCGTCCCAGCTTCTGTTGAGCTCACACCTTCTCTTCGTGCGCACGTGGGGCTGGGGCGTGCCAGAACACAACAGCGCGCGCGAAGTGCGGAGTTTATTGGTACACGCCTGTCCTTGAAAGTAGGTAACTGCATGCCGATGATAATAAAGGGACCCCCCCTTTCAGTGTTTAGAGTTGATTATCGTCGCCCTATACAAAATTCAAATTGGGCGGCGAGCGCTGAGGCCGAACTTCATTATCACCTCGAAACGCTATGTTGAGATACCCCATGCCCATGCCCATGGTTTAAGTCCTTCCTTTCTTTTTCTTTATGATGTATCTCTCTCTTTCTCTCTCTCTCTTTCTCTCTCTCTCTCTCTCTCTCTCCATGCCCCCCTCTGAACTTTTTTATCCCTGGGGTTGATTATCCATGGAAAATGAAGCACATGAGCTACCCTACACGAGCACTTAAAAATTTTAATTTGCATAAAGCGCTTGTAAATAAAATCTAGTACATTTGAACTTGGGATTTTTCCTTCTCTTTCTCCTCCTCATCTGTTTTCTTTTCTTTTTGATTTTTTTCATTTTTCTTGTTCATTTCTTATTGTTTCTATTTATTTTTGTTTGTGTATATCGCTTTCTCCATTCCTCCGCCCGCCTGAACTTTATTATCGCCGCGGTTGATTATCCAGGGACACCGAGGCGGATGAGCTATTCCGAGGATGTCTCAAGCGAAACAAGCATATACTCGAGGATGTCTCAAGCGAAACAAGCATATACTGAAGGATGTCTCAAGCGAAACAAGGGATTTGTCGAGGATGTCTCCAGCGAGATAAGCCATTGTTGAGGATATTTCTATGAAAACTAAACGCCAAGGATGTCTCAAAACGTGCTCGGCTTGGTCTCCTCTTGATCATATCTTACTTCGAGATTATGCTGAGGTCTGCTGGGCTACTTTTATTATCTCTCCCTGAACCCCGAACTTTATTATCCCCTAGTGTTTGTTCTCACGGGCATGAGGTTATTTTCGGATGCCCAAATCCTAATCTACTTTAGGCGCCTTCCTACTTCAAGAGTCGAGCGGTTTTCCTTCTTTCCTCCTCTTCAGGGGGCGGGCGGGAGTCCAATCTATTTCCAACGCCTTCCTACTTCTTCCGACCAGCGGGTAAGCCTCCAGCTTCGGAGCTCCGCGCGCATTTCTTGGATCGGCGCCTCCGGCGCCGCCACTGGCGCGCTCCGCGCTCCACGGAAAGGGCGTGCAGCGCCGATCCAAGAATTCCGCGCGGAGCTCAGGAAGTTTACGTCGGCGGCGAGCCTGAGGGAGAAAGTGAGAGAGGGCAGGCCTTTGCGGAAGGCGGCGGGGTCTTCTCAGACGCCTCTCGGCCTTATGAGAAGCCGTCCGTGCCTTCGGAGAAGACTTTCAAAGCTTCGCAGAAGGCCGGAAGCCTTCAGGCCCGCCCTCTCTCACTTCCCCCCCAGGCTCGCCGCCGGATCATGGCGCTGTCCAAGGACATCAGACCTGCGACGTCGCAGCCTGCGATCCGCCCGTGCCCCCCTCTGGGCTCACGACGCCCGGCACTGGGGCCAGATGCTCGCACCATGGTGGGTGTCCGATGGTCGGCAGGACCAGCCATGATCGAATCGGGACGTCGGATCGAGTCGGGCCGCGCCGATTCGGTTCACTCCGCTGCCTCCTCCTCTGTCGCTTCTCCGAGGCCTGGGGCCAGCCGCCCCCGGCGGCCCCGCGCGGGCCCGCCGGCCGCCACCATGGCGGCCGCCGCGGGCGCCGCACCGCCGCGGGTGGCGCTGCGCGCCCAGCTGCACCGGCGGGCGCCACTGCGGCGCCTGCACGGCGCGGAGGCCCGACGGGTCGGGGCTTCGTCTGTCAGGTCGGGTCGGAGGTGCCGGGTTCGAGAGGGTCTTGGTCGCCGATGCATCCTCGGCGATGCGGCGCGAGCCTCCGACCCCGTCCATACCCGGACCCTGTTCAGGAGGTCACCATCGTGGAAGAAAGGAGTTTGCGCAGTCAAACGCTCCTCGGAGCTCCGCGCGAATGTCTTGGATCGGCGCCGGACCCCTTTTCGTAGTTCTTCTTGTCACCCAACCACCACACACCATGGGCGGTCGACCTGTGGTAGCGCTTTGCTGGGCGCAGTAGGTGCCTAGCACAGGAGAGTATTATCAAAGAGCTACAGCAGGGGTCAGGGGTTGGTAGACGTGGGTGGTCATGCCAAGGTGGTCCAGAAAGTTTTGGAATCGAGGCTCGAGGTTTCAGGGCTCGGCTCGAGGTGTCAACCCCAGGATACTTTCCAGCAGATTCGCCTCGCCGAGAGCGTTTCGGGCGTACCCGGATCGTCCCGAATGGCCGCCAGAGACTTCCTTAATGTCTCGAAGGCCAGGAGGCAACGTCAGAGTGGTCGGGTTTCGTCGAGGAAAAAACGCCATAGTTGATGGAGGAACTCGCGCGGTGTAGGGTCCCGCCACCAGTCCCCAGGTGAGCGGATCTGGGCCAGGCAGGAGAGCTGCTGTTGTCTGAGCTCCGGTCGGCGTCTTGCAGGGCAAGCATCGGCTGCACGCAAGAGTGGCCCGTCGACGGAGTGAGGGTGGTCGGAGGAGGAGGAGGAGGAGGAGGAGGCAATTTTCCTTCGGGCTTGAGCTCGGCCTCGCGTCGGCGCACGCGGCGTTGGGCTGTGCTCGCATCTGAGCGCGCCAGGGTCCCCGGGCAATCGACCGCGACAACACATGATTGCGCGGTGCCCGGGAAGCCTGGTCGACCAGACGGCGCGTGTTCCGCCCCAGGGCCGGTTCCGAACCTCAACCCAAGGCCCAAATCGTCTGGCTGGATTCTGTTTGAATAGGCTTTCGTTTATTTTTCAGGTCTTGACAATGAATCTTGACCACTCGAAGTTTCCATTGATTTGACAGTTATTGAACAGGCATCTTAGCCACTCGAAGTCTTTGCTGTTGAACGTCATTCGCGACCGTGGGGCGGGCCCGAGGGGGCCCGCGGTTTTGGCCACGACACTGGACCTGCTCAGACGTCCCAGGCGACGATGACGGCGACGTCGGAGGCGACGACGCCCCAGGACGACGCCGACGACGACGATGACGACGACGACGTCCCAGGCGACGACGACGACGACGACGTTGGAGCCCTTGGGCGCTTCTGCCTTCCGGCGTTCTGTAGTTTCTGGTCGCCTCGGCTGGACGAGGTTGCCTCGCCAAGTTGGCCAGGGTGTGTACAGTGGAGGCCCATGCCAAGAACACCCTGCTTGCCTCCAGGGTGCCCTGGCTTTCTTGGATTTCGATGATTTTGCGACGCACAGCGTGACGTTCCCACACCAAAAATCAATGGACGTCCTGGGGTCTCAGGGTTGGGTTTTTTGTGGCAGGTTTCTTGTGGACTGGCCTCCACTGTACCCGAGAGGGGTCCCATGGACCGCGCTTGAGCGGGCCGCCGTGACTGGAGGAGACGGGATCGCTGGGTGTTGGTTCGCCGTGTTGGGGCTCCCCCGAGCCTCTCCGGACCCAAGGACAGTAGATCGCTCAGGATGACAAGCTTGCCCCGAGGAAGGGACCACCCCCTTCCCTCGTGTCCAGCCCACTCACCCGGGCCTCCGACGTTTGTTTTCACATTTGTTTAATGATTTTGCCTTTCGTTCGCGATCTTGGGCCCCATTGGCCGCTCTTGGGCCCCTGGACCACTAAAGAGCGAG